CATATCGATTTAGGAAACTTCCTTGGACACTTTTGACAAATTCCACCCTGACCGGGCCTTTTACATTCTGGGTATCCCATTCAAGACACGGGAAATTAAAATGTCCAACCAATACTACTGTGTTATTCCAGGTAACTGCAATCTCTCTACACATCTGCTGCTCTAGTACCTGCTGGCTATTTGGGGGGTCTATAATACAGTCCCAAAAGAGTGGCCATTCCCTTCTTGTTTCTAAGTTCTCTTCACTACAGCATTTTGCAGCAGTGCCATTCTCCTGACTTATCCCAGAATCTTGCATGTTGTTTCTATTCAAGTAATCATCTAACACCCTCGTGATTGTCTCACAATCTTATCTGATGAAATCTGACAGTGCAGCATTCCCACAGCACTGACCCTCCAACAGTGCAGTGCTCCCTCCATACTGACCCTCCGACAGTGCGGCGCTCCCTCAGTACTGACCCTACGACAGTGCGCACTCCCTCAGTACTGACTCTCCGACAGTGCGGCGTTCCCTCAGTACTGACCCTACGACAGTGCGCACTCCCTCAGCATTGACCCTCCGACAGTGCGCACTCCCTCAGCATTGACCCTCCGACAGTGCAGCTCTCCCTCAGCACTGACCCTCCAACAGTGCGGCCCTCCCTCAGCGCTGACCCTCCAACTGTGCGGCGCTCCCTCAGCGCTGACCCTCCAACAGTGCGGTGCTCCCTCAGCGCTGACAGTGTGGCGCTCTTAAATGCAGAATTGTTGCATTGTCCTGAGGCTGGAGGAAGTCACAGTTTCAGGGAAGGTTGAGACCAGGGAGGGATTTTAAAACAATGGTGGGTATTTTAAAATGGAGGCATTGCAAGACTGGGAACCAATGTGGATCAGTGAGTGCTGGAGCAAGTGTGAGGTTCATGTTGAGTTGGTTAAGGTCACCCTCGGCAATGACTGACTTACCCAGAACAGTCTCACCCAGAGGAAAATAGGAGCCAGCTGTGTCAGCGATGGCAAAATGCCATCGTCATAAATAAAGAATCAGGGTTCCTTGTTGGAATAGGTGTTCAATTTTATTGCAATTTATGTGTACGTTCACCGACAGTCCCACAGAGTGGAGGAAACAGATACTCAAATAAGCTTGAACCCTGAGTTCTAATGAGATGCAAAAGAGGTGAATACATGGAAAAGTGCACACCATGTTATTTCAGACACTTACAGTCCCCATCAAACACTCCCAGGACAGGTACAGCATGGTGTTACATACTGAGTGAAGTTCCCTCTACACTGACCACATCAAACACTCCCAAGTCAGGGACAACATGGTGTTGGATACAGAGTAAAGGTCCTTCTACACTGAACATATCACACAGTCACAAGTCAGGGACAGCACAAGATTGGATAGAGAGTAAAGGTTTCTCCACACTGAATAAATTAAACACTCCCTGGATAGAGACAGCTTAGTGTTATAATAGAGAGCAAAGGTCCCTCTACACTGAACACATCAAACACTCCCAGCTCAGGGACAACATGATGTTAGATACAGAGTAAAGATCCTTCTACGCTAAACATATCACACCCTCCCGGGACAGGGACAGCACGGCATAGATATAAAACTCCCTCTATTCTGCCTCACGAAACTTTCTCTAAGTCATCACTGACCAGATACTGAACTGGACTAGCCGTATAAATGCAGTCGTTACAATTCCAGGTCAGGGGCTGGGAATCCAGCAGTGAGTAACTCACCCCCTGACTCCTCACATAAGTCAGGATTATGATGGAATACTCCCCACTTGCCTGGATGAGTGCAGTTCCAACAACACTCAAGAAGTTTGACATCCAGGACAAAGCAGCTCGCTTGATTGGCACTACATCCACAAATATCCAGTTCCTCCATCACTGATGCTCAGTTGTATTGGTGTATATCATCTATAAGACGTCCTGCAGGTATTTACCAAACCCACCATCTTTCAAACTCCCAACCACTACCATCTAGAAGGACAAGGGCAGCAGATACATGGGAACACCATCCCCTGCAAATTCCCCTCCAAGCCACTCACCATCTTGACTTGGAAATAGATCGCTGTTCTTCAGTGTCACTGGGTCAAAATCCTGGAATTACCTCCCAAATTGCATTGTGGATCTACTTACAGCACACGGACTGTAGCAGTTTAGAAGGCAGCTCACCACCACCTTCTGTATGTGTCAGAAGGCCTGGGGGCTGTTTACCTTCATTAGCCATGGCGCAGAACATAGGAGCAAAGAAATCTTGTTACAAATTTCTAAATCATTGATTAGGCCACAGATGGAATATTGTGTGCAGTTCTGGTTGCTACACTATCGGGAGGACACGGCTGCACTGGAGAGGGTGCGGGTGCGGGATTCATCTGGATGTTGCCTAGGATGGAAAGTTTTGTTATGAGGAGAGGCTGGATAGGCTGGGTTTGTTTTCCCTGGAGCAGAGGAGGCTGAGATATACAAAATTATGAGAGGCATAGACACAATAGATCGTGAAAGTCTCTTCTCCATGGCAGCTGTGTCTAAGACCAGAGACATAGGTTGAAGTTGAGTAGTAAGTGGTTTCGAGGGGAGCAGAGAAAAATACCTTTCACCCAAAGGATGATAAAAAGACGGGACGTTCTGCCTGAGAGGGTGGTGGAGGCACAACATTTAAGAAGCATCTGAATGAGCACTTAAAATTCAGGGCGTAGTAGGCTATGGACCACATGCAGGTGAATGGGATTAGTGCAGTTTGGTATCTGTTTGTTGGCATCAACACGATGGGCTGAAGGGCCTGTTTCTGTGCTGTATGACTCAATGAACGTCTCACGGGGCAGTTAGAGATGGGCAATGAATGCAGGCCCTGTCAGCGTCTCTCACAGACTGAGGTCAAATTTATAACAGAGTGAAGAAAGCCGAGCATTTTGCACTGAAGCTTTGAGCACGTCACACTGCTCAATACCACCACCTGCTGGCACAGGGTGAGTTCTGCGCAGGCAACCATACACTCAGCCCACTGTGTCTGCAACAGCACTTTGAGCGAGCTATTGAACCAGTTCCACTTCCTGCCTTGTGTCCACCCTTCCAGTGTTTCTCCAATTCCCCCTTTTTTGGAAGTTCCTCTTGAATCTGCTTCCACCAACCTCTTGGGCAGCACGTTCCTGATCATAACAATTCGCTGGATCAAAAGCACATTCTCCTCATTCCCCACTATGCCAGGTTTTCTTGCTATTTCTGTGTCCTTTTGGTTCCCAGTTCTGCCACCACAGGGAAGTACCTACGCGGAAACGTCTGCCCCAATATTCAACCATTGTCGTGTAAGTATTTCTGCTGCTAAATACCAGTCATTAAAAGTCTAACCTCTATTACATGATAGCTAGATACAACTGAGGTGCAGGGGAATGGTAGTCAAGTCACTGAGGCTCAAAGATCACATGGTGTACTGCAATTCCCACCTGATTCAAAGGGCATGACGCACAAGAGAAAGGGTGGAAATGACTCTTACTGGAATGTGAGAACTGAAATGTCATTAACTATCATGGGAGACTGAAATGGCTGGAGACAGCAGCTTGATAGGAGGCTGAGGGGAGTGGGGCCGGAACATGGTCTTTCAATAAGGTGGATGTGGAGAAGATGTTTCCACTTGTGGGGGAGACCAGAACTCCGGGCCATCCATCTCAAGCTGTTCCTAATAAATCCCATCAGGAATTTCAGGAGAAACGTCTTCGTCCAGAGAGTGGGGAGAATGTGGAACTCACTCCCACAGGGAGTGGGTGAAGGGAATAGTGTTGACACATTGAAGGGGGAAGCTGGATAAACACATAGGGGAGACAGGAATAGGAAGATATACAGGTCAGGGGAGAGGAAGAGGGGTTGCGAGAGGGGTTGTGTGGGGCAGATTGGGCCTGTCTCTGTGTTGCAACATCATGCTCAATTTTACACGCTAATGATTACATCATCAGTTTTTATAAGGTGTTGCGGAGAGATAAATGTTGGCTGACAGGTAAAACAAAATGAACTGTGGAGTGTGACATTAGAGAAGGTAGCAGGAGTTTGGTGAAACAAGTGCGCTAACAGTGGCTGGAGGACACCAAAGGGGAGGGTTTACAAATTCTTAACCCTCTGTTTATTGGGGATGGGTTTGTGTGTGTGTGTATTGTGGGGGTGTGGTGAGCTGCGAGGGGGAATAATCTAAACTGATGAACAGATTGGGCGTGGATATTACAGATAAATTGAAGTGGTTCCACAAAGTGATCACCGAGAAGCTGATTAGAGTCTTGGAACCAGGCAGGATGACTGACCAGCTCTAGACCCACATGTAGGCACCAAATTGTACTTTTAACCTCCCAAAGTACATCATAGGGGCATTACAGACAAAACGTCCACACTGACAGATATCATTCAGTCAGGCCTGGGATCAGGTAGGAGAGTGAAAGGCAGAGAGGTTTAGGAAGGGAATTCCAGAGCTCGGGACCCAGGCAGATGAAGACACTGCCACCACTGATGGAGTGACAGGAATCAGGGCATGGTCAAGAGGCCAGAATTGGAGGAGGTTACAGAGGGGTGAAGGAGCTGGAGGAGATTACAGAGATAGAGGGAGGGAGGTAGGGGCTGGAGGAGATTACAGAGGTAGGGAGGGGTGTAGGGGCTGGAGGAGATTACAGAGATAGGGAGGGGTGTAGGGGCTGGGGAAAGTTACAGAGATAGGGAGGGGTGTAGGGGCTGGAGAAGGTTGCACAGATAGGGACAGATCTGGGCCACTGAGGAAGCAGAAAGAAGGGTGGGAATTGTACAACATGGTCATTCGACATTGATCATTGCCCCTCCAATAATGTTTCAATGACCCTTCTCAAAACCACGGTTCCCATTGTATTTCCCATAGCTATACTGCAGCCTGTGCCTGTGCGCATGATGGTGAGGAGTCAGAGGAAGCATGTTTTCTTCTGTTGCATTACTGGAATATTACAATGGGCATCAATAGCACAGCCAAGTCACCAGAGTGCACACTGGGTATGGGGGTCTATTGATGTTCGGGGCTACCACAGGACTAGGAGGCCAACTAGAAAAGAGGTAGAGACCACAGAAGAATCTCACAGAAGATGAAATAAAGCTCCTGGAATTTATGTTTTGTGTCTTTAGGCCTTGGAATCGCTTCTGATGCTGGGTTTATTTGTCAAGATAGCTTCGATATCACTGAGATTCTGTGGAGTCAGCTCAGGAAGGATCTGGCCAGAGAAAACATCAGAAATATGAAAAGATACTCTGCAGTGACAACATTAACAGGAACTTCCCAATAAAGCAACAGTTTACAATAAAATAATAATTCTCTACAGAAAACCAATACACAGCTAAATCTTTCTTAATGATTTTGAAGGGAGGTGTTAATATGGATGAAAATTATTTTGATTTCAAGCATGTAATCACTCATCGAACACCCCCAGGAAAAGAACAGCACAGAATTAGATACAGAGTAAAGCTCTCTCTACACCGTCCCCCATCAAACACTCCCAGGACAGGGACAGCACAGAGTTAGATACAGAGTAAAGCTTCCTCTGTACTGTACCCTATCAAACACTTCCAGGGCAGGGACACAAAGGATTAGATACAGAGTAAAGCTTCCTCTACACTGTGCCCTATCAAACACTCCCAGGACAGGGACACATGGGGTTAGATACAGAGTAAAGCTGCCTCTACACTTTCAAACTAAAGTGAAGCTCCTCCACATTGTCCACATCAAACACTCTCAGGTCAGGCACAACATAAGGTTAGATACAGAATAAAGCTTCCTCTACACTGTACCCCATCAAACGGTCCCAGAACATTTCTGGGATCAGTTATCCAGCGTTGTCTGGTTGAGGCTGATAGATAAAATATTAAATGGAAGATATCAGAGACAACAAGGTGCAGGGCTGGATGAACACAGCAGGCCAAGCAGCA